TTCAGCTCTGGGGATGAGACCACAGTTTGTGACCACTCAAATGAACGCTGTTGTGCGAGGTACTTTCACGTGTAATGTACCGCACAGGAGATCCTAAATCCTTTGAAGTACGCTAACTCTCCCGATGTCAAATAAACCAGAAAATGGAATAAAGTTTAGAAACGTTCGAGTGCTCATCGTAAGAATAAAGAACAAAATAATGGCTTGCATTTACCTGACTTGATTCCATTAGTGAGAAGTTCTGACACTTGAGTCCACTCCGGGTTGTCCTCCTCGAAAATGGCATCTAACAATATTCCATGGAACGACACGTTTTTGAGAAACAAAGCCATTCCTAGCGGAGTGTTGTTTGACAGATCGTATTTTCCGATTTCCAGGAATCGTCCATGACGAGCCAAGCAACGAAGACTAGCTTGCAACTTCTCCTCAGCAAGAGAGTTGAGTACAACCTGGACTCCACGGCCATTTGTACCATGCATAACCTGGAAATGATTAAGGAATACAAATTACAAAGCTTGTTGGAAGTGTTTTGAGGTGCTGAGCTCTGTAATGTGCTTGGGAAACTCTGACGAATCGAAAAAAAAAAGACGCTTTTTAGCCAATCAAATCAGAGACCAAAACTAGTCTGGCTAACACAACATTTCCAGCGCTTTTCACCAGATATACGTTTTGCTGCAGATTCCGGTTGGTTTATAAAGCAAGCTTTGCCGAAAGCCGTTCTTGGTCTATGCCCAGAGTTCTGATTATTTTATATTCACGCTTTCTAGTTGGTCCATGTGCTTTGCCTTAGTTTAGTTTAACGACAGTCATAAAAGGTTTCAAAGCTTCAGGGAGGTAGCACAGTCTCATGAGAAAAAAAAAAACGATATCTGATCTACAAATGTTGCATAACTTACCATTTGTTCAAACGACAAGTCCCGAGAGTTTCCGATGTTTTCTGGTTTCAGATCTGGGAAGGTCGCCATCAGGTATTCCCTCTTGTCCTTCGTTCCTACAGTCGTGAACACTTCACAGCCCATCTTGAGACAGATGGAGATCGCAGCCTGACCAACTCCTCCTGATCCAGAGTGAATGAGGACAGATTCTCCAGGCCTGAGGTTGGCGCGGACATTCAGGGCATAGTAAGCTGTGGAGTATACCACTGGAACAGAAGCAGCTTGTACAAGGGTCCAGTCTTTCGGTACCTGTCAATGAAATAAGGAAGAAAGACTTAAATCTTATTTCTTCTTCCACTATCAATACATTGTAAAGCAGACAGGTAATGAGATTAAAGAAAATGATCATTAAAGAGCTTATGTCTCGATGTATCACCACAATCTCAAAGGGCAAGACAAAAATGGCAATCAGGGAACAAAAGTTGCTCTGTACATAGATGACTTTAACATCAAGATTTTTCCCACTAAACGACAAGGGAGGCATATGAGAGAGATCCAGGAATCGAGGTTAGATTTTTCCTATAAAACCACGCCACTAACCTTCCAAGTAAACCGCTGATCTGCCACAACCGTGGTCGCCAGAGCCTGTGCAGGCAGCAATCCCATGATCCTCTCGCGCTTCTGATTCCTTCCAGAAAATTCCATGCCCAGAATACAGTCCTGGTGCGCAAGGTCACCTGGGAGAGCATCGGGTGGTAGTTTGCCTGTAGCGAGCATAATGTCACGGAAGTTCAGTGAAGTATAGTTGACTGTACACAATTCCGTGGTTCCATGGGATCCCGGGGCGTATTTCAGGTGAGAAGCGATCCAACGCAGAGAGGAGAGATCTCCGCGCGTCAGCACATTCACGTACGCATGCTCGGTTTCTTCAATGGCGCTTGAAGAGTCCTCCATCAGAACATGCCTAAAAAAAAAGTCCACAAAGAGTGATGAGCAATGAGGAATAACTATATAAACTTTGTTTACTAGTCTCCATAGTCACGGTAGTAACGCAACGCTTGACCTCTTTGTGTCATGGGACCATATTGATGATTTGTATCACAATAATTTCAAGATTTGTTGTTGTTCTTTACTTGTGTAATAATGCTAAATATTTTAATAAATAATACAGAACTGGTTTGAATCTTGTGTGTGTTAAGAGGTTTCACTCACCTGTAGGAGCCAAATTTGCCGTCTTCAAACACATTCATGACCAAGTCCAACTTCTTGAGAGCTTCAAACTGTTCCATCACTTTGCCTTTCATTTCAGGACGAGCAAAGAGACAACGAATTTTCTCCCCACCCATCTCCTGTCGAAGGCAGTTTGTCATTCCGACTATTCCAGTGGGGGATGAGGTGAAACAACCAAGCCAGATGGGCGTCTTGTCGTTTGAGGCAAGGGCGGTTTGAAGCAGTGGTACGAACTCGAAAGAATCATCCACATCGAAGAAGACTGGCTTTTCTTCTGCATTGTTGGTGAACCTACAGAGAAGAAGAGTTGACACAGAGCCAAGCTTTTTCAGCGACACAACACTGAGTCCAACAGCCTCTAACGTTTTCACCCACTGTTGATCGGTTAAGAAGTACTTTTGCTCTTGTCCGCTAGGGGTAAAGCCGTTCTTCCCAAAAATTGCTCGAGCCGTCTCTAGGCTAGCTGTAACCTCGTGCAGGAGGAGAAAACCTCGCGGTCCGAGGGCTGACTTAATGTTCTCCAAAGCACTGGAGAGATCAGATGTCTGGTGAATCAAATTTGAGGCGATGACAAGGTCACTCTTGTTCACACCACCAGGAGGTTTCTTGGCTACGTCCCAAGCGCAGACGTCGATGGTATCATCAGAGGCAGCTTCGGTGATAGTAGCCACAAGATCTTCAGTCTTGTCCGTCGCTGTATAGCTCAACTGAACCAGTGGATGAAGACTTAGCAAAGGCACAGCGCGTGAGAACACCTTCCCTTCTGCGGCACCCACCTCACAGATTTTCAAGTTGGTTCCGATCTTGTTCTCGATGACGGTGTCCAGCATGACTTTCAAGAGCGGGCCCTCTTGTATAGCGTTGAAGAGACCTTCTTTGCTGATGCCGTCCATGCTAGATTCTTTGGGAGTTGGCCCATCAATGTATGGAACAAACGTGAACTTTTCTAGGACGGGAGCTTGACCATCTTGTCTCCTTGGTGCTACAGTTGCATGAAGGCCTGCCAAATCGAGGATAAAAACGTTCGGTTATGATTTTCAAACGGCAGAATTCCGGGGATGATGTTACAAACTATTATGTTTGATTAACAGATTAACAGACTAATTATCGCTAAATTCATAGCTCGAAATGCGCTTTCCACTTTAAAATAATTCTTGTCACCACTTACCTTTGAGCTCTACACCACCAGCCACAACCATGTCCATCTTTGGATCAACCTTCACCTCACACGTGCCTTCCTTTGCTTTCTCCAAATGGATGGAGGGATCAATACGTAATGAACGTATCCTGGTAGGCAACCTCAATCCACGTCCAGGAAGTCTCAAGACAGACAACTGGAGCATTGTGTCAAGGAATGACACCCACTCGCCTGTCCACTTAAGCTCACCTTTTGTGCCTAAAATACAAAAACGGCCAAGGTAAGCAACGTATTGGTATGCACCACTGAAGGATTCCTTCAATTTGTATCAAGGAATGAATATTTACTGTATTCATGGAAGGAAAATGCACATCTACTTTAATTTGTGAATTATCACTAGCATGAGTACTACTCAGGGTTACAATGTGATTTTACGACATCTAGACTACCCAGTGAATTACTGGTATTCGGACCCTTGATTACTTCCCATTCATAAAAATCCAAATAACAAGGGAAACCCGCCTTACGGCCACCTCGTTATTACGGCCATTCATTTTGACCTGAACAAAAGCTCAGTTAGTCATTTTTAGTGCAGAGTGCACTATTNTTGACCGGATTAACGGAGTTTCACTATAATCAGAAACTTTGAACATACCCGAGCTGTTTGCTCCCAGTATTCCTTGGAAGGTGGGTCCATAGTCATAACCACGCAGCCTGAGCTCTTTGTAGATACAGTCTGCTGTCAGATGCACCTCGTCTTCAACCGGGGGAGCATCCTTAAAGTCTTCACTCAATGCAGGCAACTCTGGCATAAAGATCTTGCCAGACACTGCCAGACTTTCTCCTTCAGACACGTCAAACTTGTTGGAAGCTGGCATGAGATGAACTGTCAGGGTGACGGTGCCTGTCTTTGGCAGAATGATAGCCCTGTGGATGGTTACATCTTCAAAGGCCACTGGCGCGTGCTCTAAAAGAAGACCAGCAGATTTGGCAAGGGTCTTCCATGCTAACACCAAATAACCAGTAGCAGGGAAGAGAACTCGCCCATCAATACAATGCCCTTCAAGGTACTTGTCTGTTGTTGAAGATGGTGATATGTCGATCTCAAAGTTGCATGACGTTGCTGTTCCACCACTGCTGCTAAACTGGAAATCAGCAGATGAAGGGACATCCCATTCCTGAGAATGGTCCCATCCTATGTGTGGAGCAATGGAGGGTGTTGAGATATGCACTGGAAAAGCTGCCTTGGTTGTTGTGATCAGAGTTGGGTCATAGTCGATTCCACTTGCGTACAATTTCCCAAGGCCTGTCAAGAAGAACTCCAAGTTGTTTGGATGCTTTCTCTTCATCAGAGGGATGTTGACAGTGTGTGGGTTGAGGGATCTTTTAAGGATGGCTTGCAGAAGACAGTGTGGAGCAATTTCAATGACAACAGCGTCATCTGGGACCTTTGCTAAGGCCTCTTGGAACAGAACTGGGCTGACTAAATTGTTCACATGGTAATCGGCCGAGGAGTACTTAGCCAGCTCGGTATCCCACTTATCTTCAGGAATGGATGTACTCATCCAACGTGATGACCTCTTCTTGGGAACTATGAATTTCACCAGAGATTCCTTAAGTGTTGGGGCAATGAGAGCCATATACTTTGAATGGAATGCCACACCTGAAGTGTGGACTTCCTTGGCAAAGATTTCTTCATTCTTTAACTCTTGTACAAAATTGCTAACAGCAGCAGCATCACCAGAAATGGTGACAGTATCCACAGCATTATGACAGGCTGGATGCACACCTTCAGGGCACCTTTTCTTAGCTTCTTCCCATGTCAGACCCACAGCAGCCATGGCTCCGGCAGGAAGTTTGGCTTCCTGGACACAACGACCTTGACAAATAACGAATTGCATCAGGATTTGTTGAAATAAATACTTAATGTATGTTGTTTTAAACTTCTTTCAGGTCTCAGAAAATTGACCAAAGAACAATAGCTATTCAGCAAAATATTACCCAGTAACAAATGTTGAATTTAAATATTTTAAATATTTTATTTTATCTTATTTTATTTTATTTGCCATAAAAAGATACAATTACAATTATCAAAGTGTGCAAAAAATAGAGAAAAAATGGCCAGGGAACCTAATAAAAGCTGTGGGGCTGGTAAAGTTATGTTCCCTCCTAAGAAACACAAGCAGGGCTCGACACTAACACTTACCTGTTCACCGTTGGAGAGTAAAATAAGTTGAGTGGAAAGTAAAAAAACAAAATCAACCAAAAATACTTGTCCGATAAGGTAAGTGGTTTTCTAAAGTTTGGAAAGTAGTTTTTGGTGTTAAAACAGCCAGGTAAAAAATAAATAGTAATAAATAAATAAATAAATATACAAGAATAACTCCATTTCGGAACACAAGAATATCCACAAAATCTGCACGCGTACTCCTGGCGTAGGAAGACTGGGTACAAGATGGACGNAAACAAATGTTACTACATTAATTCCAGTTTACGTCTGACAACTCAACATAAAACTATAACACTCATAACATTGGTTTTTAGATCCAACATGATTTGTTAGAGAATATGTGCCCGTATGGACCCTTAAATCAAACACCCAGCTGAGTTTAACTGATAGAAAAATGGATGCTCTTAGATTTGATAACCAAGAAAGAGGACAAGTTGCAGCGAGCATGTAACGAGTGTCTTGTTAGTGGTAAGTGAATCGAAAACTTTGATGACATTCATACAAATTTTCTTTGACGGCTGTATTTCAGACTTTGTGACGAACTTGGTGGTTTTTCACTTAAGTTAAGCTTACTTTTTTTTCTGGAATTCAAAATATAAACTTATCTACGCTTCAATAAAGTCGACTTACTAAAGCTTACTTGCTGTGCATTGCTTATTACATAGCCTAGTTTATACGTCGAATTTAATTCAGACGAATTTAAATCCTTTAACTGTGAGATGTCGACATTGGAGCTCCCATTTTACATGTAGGGTAACCCGAAAACACTGACCCCCGTGTCCGCAGACCCCCACTGTGGATTGAGTCTGCGGACTACCTATGGACTGGTCCACGGACTCCCCCTAGCTACGGACTACCTCTACGGACCACCCCCCAAAATATAATAAAAATAATAAACCGGGGGTCAGTCTTTTTGGGTTATCCTCCAATTTAGACGACGAATTAAATTCAGACAACTTCAATTCAGCATTCACACGAATTCAAAATTTTAAACAGAGAGCCTGTGTGCTGAGACGGCCATTGAACAGCAGATAAGAAACATGGTGCGCTTCAGGAATGGGATTTTTTTTTTCGTGATTAATATGGAATTCGAAAGGTTAAAAAGGCAACAACTTCTTCATCGAATGATATTGCTAGCTGTGATCAGGAATCAATTATTGCTGCGAGTCTTGATTATTCTCTGTTTCTTGCTGCATTCTTGTAAAGCCATCACTATCTTTGAATGTCACTATACATTGAACAGATATGTCATTTATCTTGTTTGTTTTGCCTTTCATGAAGTCACGGCACACTTCATTCCAATTGGCAACAGGGCTCGACACTAACACTTACCCGTTCACCATTGTAGAGTAAAATAAGTTGAGTGGAAAGTAAAAAAACAAAATCAACCAAAAATACTTGCCCGATAAGGTAAGTGGTTTTCTAAAGTTTGGAAAGTAGTTTTTGGTGTTAAAACAGCCAGGTAAAAAATAAATAGTAATAAATAAATAAATAAATAAATAAATAAATAAATAAATAAATATACAAGAATAACTCCATTTCGGAACGCAAGAATATCGACAAAATCTGCACGCGTACTCCTGGCGTAGGAAGACTGGGTACAAGATGGATGATGCAACAGCAAGTAGGTCTGGGGATGAGAAATGTGATCAGCCATTTTGAGCTCTCCCTTTCTCTTTTGAACCCCTCTACTAACTATGTTTTGAGGAGTCTGTCATCGATCAACAGTCATGAGCCTTTTTAGTTTTGGTTTTTCACGCACTCGCGATGAAGTTCAAAGTGCTGTTCCTGCAGACAGCCAAGAAGGAACAGAACAGAGAGTCAACATCACGGGAAAAATATGAAGGTCCTCCTGTTACTGACTTTGACCCACTCCCTGCACTGAAAACTTGGTGGAACAGTGGGCCAAGAGCAAGGCGTCCCAATTTTAATGACTAATGAATAATTGAAGTGCTCAAGACAAAACATTTGGTAAATTAAACTTTATTACATTCATTGATTATGGCTAGTAAAAAATATGTCTCCTTGTCTTCTGGAAAGGAAATTTTTACTGTGGAAAGTAAGTTTTCAAGTGTACTTTCCATACTGGCAAGTTGAGGGAAAAGTAAGTGTCAAGCCCTGTGGCAATATGGAATTACATGTACCAACAAAAGCAAGGCAGTTTAGGAGGGTTAATGAAGAGTTTGTCAGCAGCCTGGAAGCTGAAATGGGAAGAAATCCTGGTGGAGGCTATGGGGCCCTTTTTGTGGTGGCCAAGGAAATAACGAATAAAGACGAGTGGAAATTAAAGGACAAGGACGCCTACACTTATGAAGTCCTTGGAGGAACACATCTTTCTTTGGCCACAAAACGCATGCATGAAAAGCAGCCCAACAACCCACACTTTGCTGGGAGAATGTGCAGAATTTATGTTGGCCTGAGTGTTGAACAAGCTGTATACCTTGGAGGTATGCATCAACAGTCCTCAATGTTTCAACATGAAATTACATACAGAGAGGAGGCGAGACCAATTTTGATGTCAAAACTCTCTTACTCCAACACACTTTTACAGTTGTGAGTGTATGTACATGTACAATCTGATTGGCTGTATATTGTATGGCATAGTTAACAATTAGACCCGTAGCCCTTTCGGGCTACAGGCCAATAGCCCATAAGGGGAAGCCGAATGGGCTATTGACCCATGACCCTTGCGGGCGAAGGGTCCAATTGTTTTAGTATCACGCAACTAGTCAGACACAAATGGTAATAATAAAGTTAACAAATGCAAGATGAAGAAGTATTTATTTGGGAATAAAACGAACAAAAGCGTCACGCTCGATTGCGCCAATTTCGTTTCTCGAGCAGTATTACTAATAGTCCTCTAGTAACGTAGCCAATTAAAATGCAGGATTTGCATTAGTCCACTAGTTGGGTGGTACGAATATAAAATAGTTATGCAACACTTTCTCTTGGTTTACCATGGAATATCCCACTTGTCACTTGTATTTTCTCAGTATACAGGCTTGCCTTAAGGCTCATGTGTGTACCCAAAAAAATACAAGTGGCTCGTGCAGTATCCC